TCCCCTGGCATCGGGGCAAGAATGGGCAGCCTCCTGCCTTAATTAATTAACAACAAGGAATGGCAGGCAAGTCAGGTAGGGGGAGTGCCCAAAGGCAAGTGGGGAAAACTAGCACAGTGGCTAGTCAGGGAGTCCTACTTCACCACAATCTGTTAAGAGCTTTTGACAGTATAGATAGAAGTAAACTTTGGGGGAAATTGTTGAATTATGGGATTGACCCCTCTATTGCACCTGCTGATAGAATATTATAAAGATAGATGAGCACAAGTTAGGTGGGGCTTCAGGGGCAAACTCATACAAATTTCAGTTACAAAAAGGTGTTGGACAAGGATGTATCTTGGCCCCCTTGTTATTTAATCTTTACATTAATGATATTATTGGAAATATGCAGGATGCTCATTTCCATCTCCTCAAATTATTAGCAACTCCGATCCCTATTTTAATGTATGCAGATGACACCGTTATAATGCCAAGAACCCCTATTGGATTACAGAGAACAATTACAACTTTTGTGCATCTTGGTGGACAAAACAACTTAAAGATAAATTATGATAAATCCAAAATAATGTGTTGGGGAAGCCGTTTGATGAAATACCATGGAACATGGGGGGAACCAAAGTCGAAGTTGTTAAAACCTATAGGTATCTGGGTGCAATATTTACAGCTTTTCCATCACGGAAACACCATATTCAGTCAGTTAAAACTAAAGCAGCCCAATTGGCTGCGGCTATAAAGAAATTTTATGAGACCGCAGCAGGACTATCAGTCCAAGCTCCTATATCAGCATATAAAGTCAAATTTGCATCTCAGATGCCATATGGCGCTGAAGTATAGGGTTATGCCACCAGTAATGATGTAGACATACCTCAGAACAAGTTTCTTAGGGCTCTTCTTGGTCTTCTTCCTTCAACACCTGCATCTTTTTTGAGATTAGAGATGGGACTAGATTCTATTTTAATTAATATATTAGAATGGTGGGATTTTAGTTTAAAATCTTGCCTCTTCTACCATCTCATCTGCTTAAATTGTTTCTCTTCAATCTCCACGATTTAGTTTTCTTTCCCGTAACTTTGCAGTTTCTGGGATGGGATACTAATGCCAAAGACAACGAAAGATTTTTCTTCCCTATAGACAAAGTTCAGGTTTTTCAGAGGTTACAAGATATTGCCAGGCAGATGATTTTGCAGCGGATAGGGCTACTTGTATTGACCTTTTATATACTCTTTGGAAATTAGATTGAGGGGGGAGAGAGGTATTTACAGCTGGATCTCAACAATAAATGGTGATCCTCTTTGACTAGACTTAGTACTGAACAGATGCCTTTAGCCATTCCAAGGGCTAAAAGATGTTGCCCATCTTGTCTAGGAGTTTTGGAAGACACTATTCATTATGTTTTAGAATTTTCTCTACATAACGACATAAAGAGAACCTATTTATCACCATTCTTGCAGAAACTGATACTCTCTTCAAACACAGAGAAACTAATCTGGCTCTTCCACCAAACAGACCTATATTTAGTAAGCCGTCTTGCAATTTTTGCTCTTAAGGTTGAAGCAATTAAAGGTCCCTTACTGTTGATATAATTGATAAATTTTAACACTATATCTGATTTTACTGTGTCAACTGTGGATCTATGTACAACATTTTTATAGATTCATGATCCAGTTTATTACTATATTTATACTAATGTTTTATAATGGTTGGCTCTATTTTATTATTATATTTGTATTTCTGTTGTTTTTGCTTACAACCATAATATAAATAAATGTATGTTGTTTCCGGGAGCATGGCTTTCAGCCAGAATCCTTAATAAATTGAAGTAGTCCCTAACCTATTCTTTCCCACTGAGGGCTGCTCACCTCCTTCCCAAACTGTGCTGCCAGGTACAGTAGTCTGGGAGCTGACCTTGCCTGTGAAGACTGAGGCAAGAAAGGCATTGAGCACTTCAGCCTTTTCTGCATCCTCTGTCATTCGGTTGCCTCCCTCATTCAGAAATGGACCCACTTCCCTGATCTTTCTCTTGTTACTGACATACTTGTAGGAAACTCTTCTTGTTTCCCTTCGCGTCCCTTGCTAGCTGCAACTCCAACTGTGCTTTGGCCTTTCTAGCTTCATCCCTGCATGCCCAAGCAATACTCATATATTCCTCCCTAGTAGTTTGTTCAAGTTTCCACTTCTTTAAGCTTGGTTTTCTGTGATTTAGTTTACTGAAGAGTACCCTGCTAAGCCAAGCTGGTCTTCTGCCATACTTGCTAGTCTTCCTGCACATCAGGATTGTTTGTTCCTGCACTTTCAGTAAGGCTTCTTGAAAGTACAACCAGCTCTCCTAGACTCCTCTCTCCCTCAGTCTGGCTTCCCAGGGGATCCTGCCACGAGTTCCCTGAGTGAGTCAAAGTCTGCTTTTCTGAAGTCCAGGGTCCTTACTCTGCTGCTCTCCATCCTTCCTTTCCTCAGGATCCTGAAATAAATCATCTCGTGGTCACTGCTGCCCAAGTTGCCATCCATCTGACCCATCTTGTCCTGGCTTCTGTATTATCCTTACCCTACTCTGCCCTGTCAAAGACTTTTTGCAAGGGCATAAAACTACTTTTTCACACTCCACCAGTGCCTAGGCTCCAGTTCCCACGTTTCCCATCTGGTCCCAACGGAATGAAGTCTTAGCCTTACCCCTCTGGACTCTTCATCCTGGTGCTGTTGCCTCCACCTCCCTGCATTTCTGGTCTCCTTAAACAGTGAATCCCAATCCCCCAGCGCCCCCTCTCTTCTGAACTCTGGTCATCAGTTACCCTGCTCATATTTGCATTCTGGTTTGTCTGAGTCTCAGTCTCCTCCAGGCTTTTCATTCAACTTCAGTACCCTCCCTCCTGCAAATAATTCAGTTTCTTTGCCAAGCCAGCGCCAGCCTCCCTGCCCCACCCTCCTTGACTCTTAGTTCTAGTCTCTCTGCCCTTTGCTTGGGCAGTGGTGGGAAGGGAGAAGGAACAGCTAGACAGGGATGAGTCTGTGCTTACCTCCTCACGCAGGGTTTGGGCAGTATGTGTTTGGGCAATGCAGCCAGGCAGAAATGAGCCCGTGCTTATCTCCCTGCACCCTGCAACACTCAAAGGATTTCAACTCTATCACCCCAGTTGCAAATCACTGGATTAGGGGGTCTGGTTCTCATCCCCCTC